ATATATATTAAGTATATTATTAAGTATATATTATTATTATTAAGTATATTTCAATTTAGATAATTATGAAAAAGAGTTCATTTATATATATTCTAGCCATTCATATTCATATACTCTAGTCTAATCTGCATATACTAAAGTCTCTCTAGCTATTTAGTCACTGTATTTGTCGTCATGAATCGCCGCTCGAAATAAATCAAGTCGGACTGCAAATTTGGGCGACCTGGTTCAAAAGTCATGACTACATGCGCTAGTTTTGATTTTGCTTTTCAGCCGCATATTAAGCTGGCCACACCCACGCCCCACTTGGCTGCGATTTGAAAGTGTTTTTGTTGCTGAGCTGAGCGTTGAACGTTGAACGTTTGTACAATTGCAAGGCACTCGCCTTGCTGGGCCAGACTAACCCACGCAGGCGAATGCTTGTATTATTTCTGTCAGCGTTTAAGCTGCTGGCCTATGGGTTTTCGGACACGTTGCAGCCAAGCTAGCCAGACTATTTTTGCAGTTAAAATACACAGCAGCACCAGCAGCTGATTGAACAAACGGGAACTAAAGCCAGGCCACAGCCAGAGCCACAGCTGCTGACTCATTTAAAAGCCAATGCAAATTGTTTGGCACGCCTTACAGCCAAATGAAATGAATAATAAGAGAAAAAAAAAAAAAACCAAACGAAAAGCTGCAGAAATCCGAATTTGCATAATTAGAGAGAGAGAAACAGCAGACACATGAGTAATGCGTGCCAGACAGACGAAAAGAGCGAGAGAGCGAGATGGAGAGACGTGGAGCTGGAACAGTGTTAAGTAGCAAGTTCGTTGCCTAAGTCTTTCATATTGAAAGCCGTTAGCTGCTTGTTAGCTCAACTGTAAAAATCAATATAGTAGCCAAAAATGACAGCAGAAAAAAAGCCGGGAGAACTATAGAAAAATCAAACATGGAATTCAACATTGTAACATCAAGTTCTGGCCGCAGGTTGAATGAACCTCTGAGCTTTCTTTGCGAGCCAGCAAATGGCAAAGCGATTATAAGTCAATTATTAAGTTCATGAACTCACAGCGTAGCCATATACTTATATCTTCAAAGTCAAATTATAATTATATATCATATAAATAACTCAAAATATATTAAATATTCCGGAGAGTTGTCTTAACTCGTTTCTCAGCTCTTGCCACAAAAATGTTGTAAGCGTAATTCAATTTTCAAGTGCTTTACAATGAGGCAATATGCCAAACCACTAAAAAAAATGTAAAAAAAAAAAAAATTAAAAGCAGACAACACAATATAAAACTATATATAACAAAAAATAATATTTTCGACGCATTTCGCTGTTGTTGTTGTTGTTGTTGCTGTTGTGCTTCAAGGTCAGTCGAACAGCTTGTTGTGCTTGTTATATAAACAAGTTAAGTTCATTATGGCCAAGAAGTGACTCGTGTGTGAGTGTGTGTGTGTGTATAATAACTGGTCTCACAGCTTGCTTTGTTGCCTTTTAATTATTGAAATTTTGTTTTTTTTTTTTTTTTTTTTTTTGACTGCGTTGGCGTCTGCCGCAACAGCCCACATGCTTAAAGAATCTATAGAATCGGAATCTGTAACTGACTATCAATTAGCTCAACAGACATAGAGTTGAAATCGACAGAGAGAGAGAGAGAGAGAGAGAGAGAGAGATGTGTGGGGGCAAGTGCCCACAATTATTCATATCAAAAGGTGTTGCACTCAACACGCATTATATGAACATATTTTGATAGTTAACAACCACAAATTAACCAATTAATAGGGCATGCATCACAGCGAAAGGTTCCGGAAAAACTCTGTGTGCTGGCCCCAAAATGAAAACCCTTTTCATTCATCTCCACATGCTGATGATGCAAGCCGCTCTCAACCCTGCTCAGCTGTCAATCAATCACATTTTCTAATTGCTTCTTTAGACGCCAACACAACAACAGCAACAACAATGAGGCATACGAAACGCCGAGTCATAATTATGTTTAGGGCCATTGCTTAGAAGTGCTAAAAGTTTAGACAAGCTTTTTTTTCCATTTTGTTCTATGAATTGTAGCCAATATTTAACGAGAGGCGCGTAGCCTTTTATGCGGGCTCCATCTCATTATGATTAATGTGATTCCAAGTGGTCTGTGTACGCAGCCTCTTTCGAAATGTTGTGCCCGCCAATTAGCAATAGATTCTAGTACTCAATCCGTGTGGGCAGTGTAAATGGTTTTTCTCCAACTAAAAATGCTAGCATCAAGCTTTTCATCTTAGTCAGATTTATGGCTAGAACTAATTGGACGGCGGCGGTGTGCTTGAAGAAAGATTGCAAATTGCAAAGCATAAAAATAAGGTAATATAATTGTAGAAGGCTAGAAGTTTCAATGGCAATATCCACAAGCTGAAGCTCGATAGAAAATGGGAATATAAAATAGTTGAACATAGTTTTTGATAATATAACTAATTGGACTTTAGATATACAACTTTTTTGGGCAGAAAACTCAGTTATTAACATATGTATAAATATGCTCATTAATCTAAAAATGAGGCTAGTTATATTGCTGAAAATATGTAAGGCATACATAAGCATACAAATCAGTTTATATCAATAAATAAATTTTAATATAAAATATTAATATAACATATACACATATTTACAGTTAATGATTTGATTAATATTTTATTGTGAATTCCAGCTGACTAAGATTTTGCCGCAAGTGAGCTTTTTTTGTAACCGAGCTCAAAATGTTAGGCAAAATAATAAATATGACGTCAGCGACTGAAAAATCCCATTCAGACTTGACTCTTGGGCATTCAAACAGTTCCATTTTGTTGAGAGATTCTTAAAGAGTTTTAGGAATGCTTAGCTGTAGGTAGGAACACTAAAATCTCTATTCTGATTGGGTCACATAGCTACAGCTAAGCATTATACACATCTACTCTCTTGCACTTAGTGAGCAGAGTATTAAAAGAGTGCCATAAAAATTGTGCAAGGGATAGTAAAAGGCCGACGACTATAAAGCCATGCGGCTGAGTCTGACTGCGGAGGCTAGAGAATATCCAAAGAGAAGAGTTCTCAGAGTGTGCTAGAGTCTATGCTGAACAGTTCTCAGTTCTTAAGACGTAAGTAGAGTTAATGCCAGTTCACATATATTTCCATTGAAAATGTGTCTATATAGCAGACTAGCTATGCTTATGTATGGAGTCTCAGCTGACAATAATCTAACTGCTCTTCCAATGCTCAAGCATGCACATGCACGTAATGCGAGTCACTTCCTAACATTTCTAGAGATTCGGCTGGCTGGCTGGTGTGGTTGACACATAAAAATTAAAAATGCCGGACATGCAACATGCCGCAATATCCAGTCGAGGCAGTTGCCGCTGTTGCCGCGGTCAAAAGCGGATGTCCGTGACGTGGCAATTGCTTTGCAGGGGCATAATAATGTTAATATGTGGATAGTATAACAACGTTCGTGCTACGCGCTGTGGCATGCCGCGTCATGCAAGCTAATAAGTCAAGATTGTCGCATCTCCATGTTTGTGATCGACAGATGGATGATGTAACTGCCGCGACTGCGGCTGCGGCTGCTGCGAACTTGGCCAGCGCGCTGTGACAACCAATTCGGGAAAGAGCGGCCTAACCTTGAGCTAAACAGGTTCAATGCACAGGAAAAACGCAACTTGGCTGACCAAAATATATAAATGTATATACATATATTTATATATATATACGTACATGTGTATACATATAAAATAACAAATAAAAATTACATTTTTTTTTTTTGCGCGCATAAAACGTTTTGGCTTGAACACAACAACAACAACAAAATGTTTTTCTTGATACAGTATGCGACGCGAATCTTGGCTTAGGCCGCGTCGCGAACCGGTTTCAAAGATGAGGACCGCCTCAGACGGCGATTTATGAAGTCATCTTTTGTAGCTTAGCTTGCAATTTAGCAAAAGCGAAAAATAAAAAAATGAAATAAGATATATTATATGGCCAGCGCCATATTGAATATGTTGCTGTATCTCTGCATAATTAAGCTCTAACGCTTCATTTGCCAATCTCAAAAGAAATAACTTCCAACTCACCTTTTTAACAATCCTCCCGTTTTATATTTATCTCTATATGTATATATGCCTTTGCGTAATCCAATTAGTTATGTGGCCTTTGTTTAACGAGTGTTATACAGTTGTTTTATATATTTTTTTTTGTTTTGCAAATTCAGAAAATTATGTGGCAATATATATATATATATATATAAATTTTGCATTAACTTATTTTACTAAATTTATCATGGGATTATACTTGTTTTTTTCACAGGCGCATAATTTGTTTTCTTCTTTTTTACATCTATATTTCATTTTATTTTTGCATTAATTTAATTTGTTTAACTTCCTCTTTGTTTGGCGCACATTTGGGTTTTTTGTTTATTTGTAATTTTGCTTTGCTGCGGAAGAGAGGGCAAAAGAAACAGGCTATAAAAAACGGCTAAAAAGCAGCTTCAAAATTGCTAAGGAAAAATTGCAAGAGCATCTAGCTTTTTAAGAGCCAAAAGAGCAAGAGCGAGCGAGTGCTGAGACACACATCTACACATACATGCATACAGTTTAATTGCTCTAACTGAAGCTCTCAAGGAGTCGCAATAACAAAAGACTTAGGCAACAAACTTGCGGTCAGTTAACAACACAGGCACAAGCCTGGTTCGAAACACATTTTTCAAAAATTCGTGATGAAGTCGAAATTAACAGCTAGTTCAACCACCCGTTGTGCATTATAGCAACAACAGCAACAGCAACAGCAATAACAATTTGATGGGCCGCCAAGGGCAACAACAATCAAACGGCAAAAATTTCTTTAATTTTGTCAGCGTCACAAATGCGTTTGCACATTCCCAAGTAAGACCAAATTAAGAATCATTTCATGGCTTTACAAAAAGACAATACACACTCTCTACAACTTCTATATGTATATATATATATATATAGGTATATATATTTGTATATATAACACGTACATGCTCGGTTTTTCATCTGCGATTCGCCGACAGCTTGAAATATTGAACGCGATAGAGCGAACGCGCGACGACGACAACGAGACGCGCTGCCTTTTGGTTCTCTGTTGTTTTCTTTTTTCGTTGATGTGTGTCTCGCACACCGACCTGGCCAAGACTGAATTGAACAGACGTCGCGCTCTAAAGTCAAGACGCCAACAGCAGCAACAGCACTCCGACAGCAACCGGTCTGGCTAAGTTTTCGGAGTCGTTGTCGGAGTATTTGGCAAGCTGAGCCGCTCTTATTGGCGCCGCGCTCTTCGTGTTGTGTATGACGTATGTGTGTACTCTGTGTGTGTGTGTGTGTGTAACCTGGTGTTGGCAGTTTTTCAGCAACAACACCAACAACCACAACTGAGGCCCACACAACAATCTTGCACTTGGGCCCTGGGCCACGCTCGACTGCTGCTCTCTATATATGCCTCGGAGAAAAGGGTATTAAAAGTACTTGAGACAAGTCTGCTATATAGTCCATTCTCATCGGATAAAAGGTAGACAATTGTAGTGAATTAGTGTGTCTTATTGAAGAGCTATTCAGAATTGATTCGAATCAGTTAACGAATCATGAAATCTATTTAGATTTCCCAACTAAACGAGAGTTGGCTAGACTTGCATTGTAATGATATATATATTTAAAATCATTCAGAATTCGTATTCTGCTTAGCTTAATGGGAAATTATGGTATATTTATAATATTAAAAGTTTAATTTCAATATATTAATCATTTAAAATATAAAACTTTTTTGTTGGAAAATTCTATAAATAATCTGTTCAATAAATGTTTCCACATCCTGTTTTAAAATAAATTATTCTTTTTATTTCTTTTATTTAAAATTAAATTATAATTTAATTTAGCATATTTAGCATAAACATATATTTATATTTAAAATATTTTTATTTTTATTTACTTTAATTTGTATTTGCTTTAATTTAATAGCTGATATAATTATTTTAATAAAATAAATGTATATTTTTAAATACATTATGTATACTTTAAGTAACAACAATTTCATTTACTAGTGTATTTTGACTTCGTTTAACTGTTTTTGGTTTGTTAGTTAGGTGTAATTTCTCGTTCTCACCTGAAATGTTGTATTTTTTCTTTCTAATGAGCGAATACCGCATAATTAGAGCCTCCAGCGTGTTGGGTCTTCAAGTATTCCCGAATCACGTCATGCTCGGCCAACGCAACTAACTAAGCTGCACTCGGAGAGTTGCTAAGATCTCGGTTTTTACTTGGCTGGAGAGCTGAGCAAATAGAATGATTGTGTGGGCAGTCCACAGAATGCCGCGATGACGGCATATACGGCAATACGGCAAATACTTACGCGATATATACACATGTATACAGATAAGTATGTATGTGCACTATGTGGCCTATACATATTTGTATAAGCTAACTACAGACTGTGTTTTGTTTAAGCCACATAAATCTTGAGACTTGCATTTACATTTTATTTTTCAGGTAGTAAAGAGCAGAACGTTTTTCCTTTACCTTTTCGGCCGCTCTGACTCTGACTCTGACTCTGCTCTGCTCTGTTGGCCTTGGTCGGGTTCAATTGTTGACGTTTCCCATTAACTTGTACGTTTCTATTTATATTTTTAGTTATACCAATATTTATGATTATCATGCGTGCTTCTCCCTCTTTATCTTTGTCTGTTCAATGTCAAAAGTTCGTTTCAGAGACGTGCCGGAATTTTCACATCTTTACGTGAGCCTGCGACACGAGAGATTTTGTTTTTTTCAAGAATTGATTTACATTTTTGAGCTGTCAAGTTTGTCATAATATATAATTATTATAATATGTTCTTTATAATTTCAGTGATGGTGATAGACAGGAAGAATTATTCTGATTTGTTTAAAAAAATATGGCTTCAAAAGAAGAACTATGGTATGCAGTGTAAAATATTTTAAATAATAAATTTAATATATAAAGTGTAAAGAAAAACAATAAAAATTATTTAACTGAGACTGCCACTATGGCAAACGTTATGCACTCTGCACATTCATAATTAATAAGAGAGCTTATTATTTATATAACATATGAGGTAGTTAATTAAAAAGTTGTAGAAAGTTATTATATATTGTTTATTTTTTTATAGAAAACATAATCTGCGAAATTTATTGTAAGGAGCATTAAAATCATATTGATAATGATCATTATTTTTAATGATGCTTAGCAATAATAATCATTTAAGTAGAGAATCGTTGTCTTAAATAATTATTACATTTAATTATCATTATCGATAATGATCATTCTCATTATTATTGCTTAGGAATAATAATCATTTAAATAATTAATTGTTATGAATTGTAATTCTAAATAATGATTACATTTAATTATCATTATAGGTAATGATCATTCTCATAATTATCATTGTTTTAATAAAATTTAATATTTATTAAATATATTTAACAATACAGAAGAGTTTAAATTTAAACAAATATATCGACAAAACATATGTATGTGTGTACAATAATAATAATTAAACATAAACATTTAAATATTACTTAAATAAATACAAATTATTTAAGCAAAAATGATTATACATTACAAAACTTATTATTATTAAAATGATTAAATATATATTATTTATATATGTATTTACAATAATAACAATTAAATAGTTAAAAATACAAATTTAACAATAAAAAAATTTAAATATATTCACCACACACTGCGTCTGACCCAGTACAGGTCAGGGACTTGACTGAACGCCTACGCAGCTGGCGCCCCTTTATATACGGAAAAGTCACTCAAAAGGCAATCAGAGCAGAGCTCCTAATTGAGCGAGGGTGTTCACTCAGTAAACAAGCCTCTCTCAGGAGAGGCAGGCAATCAGACAGACATAACTATATATATAACTATAACTATATATATATATATATATATGATGAGGTGTATACATATAAATTAAATAAATTCCTAGCTCTTTTTCTGCATTTCTCACTTCATACATATTTTTACTATGAGTTTATAGAGTATATCCGTTCTCAGCTATAGAGTGGAGTTTTCTCACATCTCTGAGCACACATTATACCCAATTTGCGCAAAATTTCGATGGGTATACATATAGTGTGCGTTGACTGAAGAGTTTAATAGGCTGAATCAGCCACAATCAAGTGGGCGATGGCTTGATGAGCTGCCTTGGTGACAAATCCATTTACAATTACATCACAAAATTCTAAAGAGCAGCAAATTTGCATACAAGAAGCCCACGCAACAGAGTTAAATATATTTTGATTTTTTATTTATTTATTTAGTTATTTTTTGGCAACAAATGGAAACAAGAACACCCACGTGGATTGAGTCAAGTTCATAAAGCCAAGCTGACAGGTAAATAAATTCACAAGTCGTTGGCCTTAAGACAGCTACGAAAGAGAGGAAGAGAGAGAGTGAGAGGTCAGAGAGTGAGAGATGGGGCAAAAACAATAGCAACAGTCGTAATATTTTGGGGAAATATAACAAAAACAACCACCACTATCTATATATGTTGATTCACCTGTACAGGTAGCCGGGTTACCTGGTTACACACACTCGACACAAGTGTTTATCAGCTTTTTCTTATGTTTGTTATTTATGAACTTAGTGTCAAAAAAAAAAAGAAGAAATCAAAGCAGGGTACGATTTTTGGCTCATCATAAAACAAGGCAAGCTCCGAACGGAGTCAGCGTCCCCTTAGTATAATTATTAGTAAAAATTTCTTGTTGAAAAAACGTTTCATCAGATCAGCAGCTGTTCAAGCTTAAGGATTGGAGCCAACTAATCATAATAATCACAAAAAAGAAGAAGAAGACAATAGCTATATAATATTAATCGGCACTATGGCCGAGATATTGTCACGTGAAAAGGAACTCTTTCATATCAATCAGGAACTAAATATGATGGCATTGAATCATCCCATCGACAATGGGAGTCAGGTGACCTCCCAGTCCCGCTATTGCACCTATCTGAAACAGAAGGGCCCCAGCACATTGCTGAAGAAGAAACTGCACGCAAATGTGAATATCGATGGGGCGATCAATAATCGGCATACAGCGGGACGTGGCCACAGGTCGAAAGTCAGTAGATCGCCAAACAAGAGTGCTCCGACCACGCCAACACCTCCATCGACGCAGATGACAACGCCCAGGGGCAAACAGACAACGAATTTAGTATCGCAGTTGAACAAGGCTAAGATGCCCGATTGGCGCGGTGGCAGAGCGCACGGTAGGCATGCCACAGCGCCTGCTGCTTCGGCAGCAGCAACAAATTTGTCCACTGCTGCTGCTGCTGCTGGCCGCATCGACAGCACGTTCACGCGCCGAGCGACACACAAGACGGCCACGTTTGTGAAATATCGCAATCCCAACTTTAAGGCGAGTCCATCATTAGATCTGTTGCTGCGCAATGCGGATGGAGCGTTCGAGCAGCAACAGTCGCAACAATCGCAACAGCCGCAGCAGCCGCAGCAGCCGCAGCAGCAACAGCAACAGCAGCAACAGGAGCAACAGCCGCTGGTGGAGCTGGAGCTGGTGCATCAGTCACGAGAGAGCACAACTATTATCAGCGGACAATCCAAGAAGCAGCTAACCCAAGACAACTTCATCAAGTAAGCAAAGAGCAGCATGCACAGATTGTCCAAACATATGTCTATAATACTATATAAATCTTCATCTAGATTTCTGAAAGCCAAAGTCGCCATTTTGGAGGAGGATCATGGTCAGCTAACGCAGGACATGGCCGATCAGAAGATGCAGCTGGAGCAAACGTTTGAAGCACTGCGCAAGGCTGAGGCGCAAAGGGATCAGGCCATCAACACCAATGCCAAATTGTCCGAGCAGCTGCATCGCTTGGAACTGCAAACGGAGGAAGCGAACCGACGGCATAAGGATCGGCAATCTGAGTACAACAATCTGCAGCACGAGCTGGAACTACTGCGCCGCGATACAAAGTTGCTGAAGCAAACCAATGCCAATCTGGAGAATCGTCTAATGCGCGCCAACGATGAGACAGAAGCCACAAGGCAAATGCTCAGCCAGCAAGCGACACAGCAACGCGAGGATCTCGACTACAGTCGCAAGGAGCTGAAGATGAGAGACACCCGCATTAAGGCACTAAAACGCCAGCGTGCGGACCTGCTCAATGCCTATAAGAAGCAGCTCTTCATGATCGACAATCTGAAGCGTCAGAATAGCTGTGTGGAGCAGGCGGTGGCCATCGGCTTTGGCGAGAAGGAGTTCAACAAGGTGCTCGAGTGGAACACGGGCACCAAGACGGTATTTTAGTGTGTGTGAAAAATGATAGAAGGAGAACAGACAGAGAGAGAGAGAGATTGCTGCTCAAATCAATTTTATATAATTTCGGAATAGGCGCATATTGGAATTGCTTGTAATACATTAATAAATATAATTAAAGTGTATACTTTGAATGAAAGGGATAGACTAGAGGTAGTTAATAGAGAGAGAGAGAGAGAGAGAGATAGAGATTGATTTGATTTAATTCAGAGGTTGATGCATATTTGAATTGCTTGTACTTAAATTAATATAGAATAATATTTTTATATATAGGCGGAAAGTAAGAAATCTCATATTCCCTCAAGTCATTTTGCTTTCAATTAACGCGCAAATAACTCAATTAGGCAGCCAGGCGCTGATAGACAGGCTGCCAATGGGGTTGCAAGCGGAGCAGCCTATAAAAGCGCTTATCCTGGCTGACACAAATCACACTTCGACTTCAGCAGTCAACGAGAGCAAACAGCAGCAACAGCAGCAGCAGCAGCAGCATCAGTCACGCCACTAACAGATTATACAATGGCAGCTCTTAGATGTACTCTCACTTTGCTATTGGTCACCATCATTGTGGCAGCGATTCTGTTGCACAGCAGCGAGGCAGCCTACAGGAAGCCGCCCTTCAATGGCAGCATCTTTGGCAAGCGCAATGCTCTGGGTGAGTCTGCATACCATACATACCATAACGGCATTACCATATCCATACGATCTTCCTTAGATTATGACAATGCCAAGGCAATGAGCGCCGTTTGTGAGGTGGCCATGGAGGCGTGTCAAAGCTGGTTTCCACAGAACGATAGCAAATAGGAGCAAGCCCTGAGACTGATCTTAAAGCACACTAAAGCTAAATTATACTGCAGCTGTCGAATCACAAGTAGCGACTAAATAGACTCATGAGCCAGACAAGTTTGAAATCAATTACGAGTAAAAGAGCATTGTATAAAATGTATTAGTTAAGTCGTCCATACACATAACTTACAATATCTACCACATATATAAATATAGCATACATACATACTCAATAAACTTATCATCAATGAATGCACTTCACTTTGTTGTTTTTACTTTTCAATGGCTTAACTACAGCTTGAGATACAATTAGAATAGAATTAGCTTTCACGTAGAATACAATTAGTATATGCTGCGAGAGCATTATATATATATATATATAAACGATATATCACTTTATCGTCTTAAACTATATACAATCGAGCTGAAATCGCTCAATCAATGACGTCGGCGCTGTCGCAGCTCGTTTATGTGCTTGCGCAGGTATTTCATATAGTCCACCATGGTTGAGGTAAGCGCCTATTAATGAAAGACTTATAATTAAAATTTTTCTATAGAAATGTATAGTCTATAAGTACTCACTGCATCTAGCACGTAGCGTGGTATATAGCCCTTGAGATCCAGGCAGAGCACCCATTCCAAAATGCAGCCATCCTTTTTGCCAATGATTTCTCGAAATGCAAATCCCGATACAATGTTCTCGCCTCTGTTTGATATGAATTAGGGCATTAGTAAATGGAATTTGCTCTGTGGGTCTCCTTGCTCACCTTATGTACTTGGTAGTGGCAGCCATTGCTGGATATTCCACACTTATTGCCGCGCTCATCCACACCTTGTTGTTGGTCTTGCCGACCGCACTGTTTGGCTTGTTCACAACGGGCGGCGTGTTGTCTGGCTGATCTTTGGCATCCTCAAATTCATCATCCAATGGCGGTGGCTCCACAGGAAAAACGATGGCTGCTCCCAAACTTTTGGCACCCAGACTTTTACTCAATGTGTCATAGGGTGTTGCCGATGCGGAGGGTGCCGTAGATGTCGCAGTTGTTTTTACCACTTCTGCTGGCGGCAACGAGCTCTGGCCAAAAAATTTGTTCCGATAGCTATTGGCAACGCTTCCAAATTGTGGTGTATGTGCTTCACTGTCGGATATTGTTGTTACGCTGCCCTCACAGGAACGGTTTAGAGAATTATCGTCGTCATCCTCGCTGCTTAGCTTAGCCGCCTCATCATCATCACAGATTTTGCCATTGTAAATTAAACGACACGATCGTAAGTTAACAAAATCACGGCTCTTGACCATGCCGCCGCCGCCGCCAACGGAAACTTGATACGTAATGTCGGTATACGAATTGATTTTCTAATAATATATTAACATTATTTCAATATGCTGAAGTATTAAAGATGAGATTTAAGTACTTACTCGCACAATTCTAGACTCTAATAAAGTTGGATTCCATTTTGTCACATCCTCAATCCGATAGAAGAGCTCCTCCATGAGCGCCTTTGCTGGATACTTCAGGCGTGCCTGAAATAGAAATCAATATAAATTAAGAATCTATAAATTAATATAGAAATCGAACAAATACACACCGTTAGTTTATAAATCTTGCCAATTTTTTCGCGCTGTGTGCTGTAGATTGTATCGCCCTTGGGAGTTACTTTTTCCATCTTCCAATCTGCGGATTCGATAAGCTCAAATGCCTTGCGCAGGCAATCTAAGCCCATTTGATTGTACTCCTCGTCCTGCAAAGCAAACAAGAGATAAACAAATAGTTATAATCCAAATCTCTATCTCACTACCAACAACATTTGGAAAAATCTGAAAATGTCTAAAATTTCGCCGATTGCAACTTCTTTTATATGATGCCAAACAATTGTTTTATTCAATGTCTTTAGCTATGCGCATGCATAAATACTTAGCTGACCTGTTCATCCTCTTCGTCCGAATGGTGAGCCGTATCCAAGGGTGAATAAAAATCAGTAACACTCTGAGCTCCGCGCTCACGTTCAGTCAAAATCGTTGGCTGCGTCAATGCTGCGCGATCGGTTGAGCTCGCGGCTACAAGAATATATTTAAATGTATATACATAGTAATTAAAAGAAGGAAAGGCACACAGCTACCAGCAAAATAACGGCGGGCGTGACGTTCCTGTGGTATAACACGGCAATCCAGAAACCAAGCCTCGCCCCAGGCCAGAATGAAGGATGTTATAATGACTATGACCTCGAATACTTGTTGCTTGGAATGCACCCACTGTAAATTAAGGCTAAATCATATAACCGTAATTTATATACTTCCAATAATTAAACTTACATCATAGAAAAAAACTTTGGTGATGAGAAACAGACATGAGGCACTGGTAGAAAGCTGTAAAAAATTGTTCCGCAATTATACATCGAATAACAATTAGATGACGAATTGCACTTACTGCAATGATGGACCAATGATTTATGTACAACAATGCATAGAAGAAAATTAAGACGATGAAACGACAAAGCGCTGTGGCAACAACATCAAAGAGTGATGTGTATATGGTATAGTGCATAACTTGTTTCTGAAAGGCCTGGAATATATTATCGCCACCAATCTGCAATGGAAAATGAAAGCAATTAGCATATATCTTCAATGGAGCAAACAAAGGGTACAACTCACAAGTATGCAAATGAGCCAAAGTAGCGATACAAACAACAAATCGAATGTGACAAAGAGGCAAAAGAATCTTCGCACCACCGACATGCGTCCATCCTGCGAATAGCCGCCTAGGAACTCATCCGTAAACAAATTAATGGAGTGCGGCCGAGCTGCAAATTTAATAGTCATAAGAAATCAATAAATTAAATGGGGTGCATTGATAACAAAAATCAGATTGGCATACTCACACATATCATATGGAATATGGTACGGAACACCGCTGTACCTCGCATTTGTCAGCAACAGCTGAGCGGTGCTTCGAACATCATCATCATTTTGAGACATGGCTGGGCTCTTTATTAAGTCTTAGCTCATTTTTAGACAACAACTGCGTATTGACTGTAATTCAACATAATTGACAATTTTTGTTTATATCAACTTGTGTTATCAGCAAATAATAAGCAGTTGGCTGGGGATTGATAAGACTTTTACCCTATAGTTAATATTTATAAATGTGTATTCGGCATTCGTTATGACTAACAAATGAATTCGCTATGAAGAGTTTCCTCGACGTGTGGTTCCGTTAAATACAATGTTTATGCTGATAAGTAAAGCACACACAAGCATACAGGCATACACACTTTTACAAACATTCATTTTTATATGCATGTATGATTTCTGCACCAATTGACACAAATTAAGCATTAAATATAGAGCGTACTGATGCATATAGATTTTTGATAAGCTCCAATAGTCTTCTTCGTTTCCTTTGTTTTTCTTTCTTTATTTTCAAGCATAAGTTTTTTCACTTCCACCCGCATCGTACGCCCATAGCTATCAAGCAGCACCTTAGCGCATATTTACCTTCAGCCCACTATGCGTACGCACTCACAGTTGATAATGCAATATCAAATTATAAATTACCAAAAGGTAAGCACCGTGTAACGCGTATTTTACAATTTGTTTAGATTCTACTCTGGCAGTGAATGAGAGACTACGAGTGAAACTGTATAAACAGCTGTTTAGTGTGGCCGTGCTAAAAGAAATGCGGAAACACCAATATACTAACAGTTACAGTATTTGCCAATAGGTGGCGCAGCTGAACGCGCACAGTTCAAAATATAAATTTATTATACAATTATTTTTGCTATAATTATTTTGTTGTGCTTAATTACTTAAATGTATTGAAATTATTTTAATGTCATCGTATGGTTTATCAGTTTTGGGATTTGCCTTAGCATTGCATATATTGAGCACCACTTCCATGCCACGATACACACGACCAAAAACGGTATGCTTATTGTCCAGCCAAGGCTTAAAAAACCAAAGAAGCATATTAAAAACATATATAATTCATTTTTAAGATAATATCTTACTGTAGGTAGGACGGTTATGAAGAATTGACTGCCATTTGTATTGGGGCCCGCATTTGCCATACTAACAGTATAAGGACGATCGTGCTTTAAGCTCGGCACGAATTCATCCTTGAAATCGTGTCCCCAAATGGATTTTCCACCCGTGCCCGTACCTGTGGGATCGCCAGTTTGAACCATGAAACCTTTGATCACTCGATGAAATATATGTCCATTGTAGTAGCTATATTAAGAAAGAAGGTTATGAAGTCTTTGGCTTGTACAGATAAGTAAAATGAATTTTAGAACTTGCCCATTTTTCGCATGTACGCAAAAATTTTCCACCGTTTTTGGCACCTCCTTGTAAAACAATTTTATATGTATATCGCCTTTAGTGGTATGCAAAACTACATTCTCATAGATACGTTGTATAACTAAAAAACCATTGACAAAATTTATAATGTAAAGAAATCGTGTATATGTATGTATATGTATAAACACCTTCGTCTAAAGAATGTTAGCGTGTAAGGGACAGTATACGGTTTGTTAGTAATTAAATTAAAATTAATTAAAGCTAAGCACTTACCTTGAGCTTCAGGCACGGCAATGATGTCCTCCTTGGAAGGCTTCTCATTGAATATGTCACGATCAACATCTTGCAAATCAGAAGGCAATCGTCTGCTATATAAGTAGAAGCGATTCTTTCTAAAAATAGAATTATTTTCAATTAATTTTTAGTCGTTTCTATAAGTATTAATAATCTTACTTGTATGCTGTGCAAAAGGCCGTTGGATCATTAAGTAAATTTTGTAACGCTGGATTTTCGCTGGCTTCCTGCTCGAGGGTTATGGCTGCCTTTTGTCGCTTTATTCGACCTTGAAAGAGTGCCACTTGCAATGGCCGTATATTATCCGTTTTACCCAAAATAGTGACACAGCGATTGGTGGCAACATTTATGACTTTAATGCCCAGCATTGTGGGATAAAGCAAAAAATGTCCGGTGTTGTCAAAGAGTATATTCATAGTGGTATTTTGTGCCGTTTTCTCCAAATCACGTTCAGCAGCCATTCTACAAGAGCCAAGAGTTTACTTTACAATTGAATCATATCGAAAGAGGAGACCTACCTTCGGCCAAATTCCATATTGGGCAACGCATGTGGCGTCTGTTGCATTTGTGTGTATGTGGTTAAAGCCTCATCGAAGACTCGCAAAAGTTTCCCCGTATTAAATTGAAAGACACGCACTTTGCGATCCGTAGAAATAGCAGCAAAACGTTT